CTTGTGTGTGTGTGTGTGTGTGTGTGTGTGTGTGTGTGTGTGTGTTTGAACCAGACAGACACACACTCGTCAAAATCACATTCAGATGTTCTAGAAATGTCGGTGAATTTTGCACCCATGAAAGAAGAGTTCAGACAGAAGTGTGTGTGTGTGTGTGTGTGAGTGTGAATAAACTATTAAATGAATGTCTATGTTCAGAACAGCTCATTTTAACTAAAGAATGAGCTGGAGTTTGTTCCTGATGAAGTCTCGGTCTGAATTCTGCTGTTTGTTGTATTCTCTGCAGCCGGTCTACTTGTACTTTCGGTTAAGCACAGGGGCAGGTAAACCTCATGCAAATAAGCACAAGTGTTGTGTCGTGCAGTGATGTGGTAAATATTTTCTTTTACTATTAATTTATTCTTACTATCCATATGACTTTATAATAGCCATGTCTGATTCTCATGATCTGTGTGTGTGTGTGTGTGTGTGTGTGGACCAGGAAAATGGTGCCAAAGGTTGGAGAAGATTTCATGAAAACGTCCCTGTGAGAAGCTCCGACATGGGTGGATGGACACACACACACACACACACACGCAAACAGAGGACCCTGTAAAGACTTTTCAGCAGGACTGACCAGTCGCATTTGTCCAGTGCATGCAATCACGTCCATAGAAACGACACACAGAGTTCATGAATGCTTCACGAGTTGAGATCATGGACACACACACACTCACACGTGCTGCATTTCCACTAAATCAGATGTTCTTCTTCTGACGTCTCTCAGCCTCGTTTCCCAAACTCTAATAGAACATCAGAAACACTAAAGATTTTAAAAAGCATCCTTGCGGATTTTAGATATGCCTCGTAATATTACGAGCTACTTCCATACAGTAAGATGTTTTAAAAAGTGCAATGCAAGAACTCTTGTTGTATTTCTCTATGGTTAGGTTTATTTCTAGTGCTGTTTGGAGATTTCTAGACTTTCTCTCTGTATATTCTGTTCAAGCATTTGTATGATTTTCTTTCTCTCTTGACTCTTGTTTATCTTGGTTTTTTTCTTGATTTGCCGTGCCGTGCCGCATACAACCGCCGAGTCTCATTTTATATACTGTACTTTTTAAAGAGATAATTTATAATATAATATGCTGACATATTGATACGAACGGCTGCTTTGGGTGTAAAGTTGAAATGTTTGAATAGTTATAAAGAAACGACTTAATCCACTTCATCGTAAGTAGAAAATGCCATATTTGATATATATATATATATATATATATATATATATATCCAATTAAATTTTTTATCTTTTAAGCAGTGCCATAAACCATGCACGTATATAAGATAGTTTCAATAGCAGTCTTGCTCGGTTCTTACAGTGCTGATCTTATTCTAACTTATTTCTGTGTAATAATGTTATGGTTGAATGTGATATTTTAAATAGGCCTGGGTATCTTAAATAGCTGTATCCTTTTTTCCCCTTTGTTTTTATGTATGATTTCTTGTTATTATATTATTGTGTCATGGTGCCAACTATTGAACTCAGTCAAATGTAGAGTTTGAGTTACGATGGCATTGTGCAAAAACACTCAAATTATAAGGACCAGGAGAAAACTTAAAAAGTGCACTTTACTTTACAGTGTGTAACAGCAGTGTGTTTTACCAACACAGTCACATATGAAGTACATGAAGTTCAGTACTAATGACACGGTGAGCGCTGTAAAGTAAAGTGTGGTCATTTAGGTTTGATTTCTCGTGTATGTTCTCAGCATCAATGCCGTGTGCTAATACTCATTGAATTCATTACACTACAGAGTCAACGATCCATTAGATCGATCCCTCATTTCTGAATCGGTGGGAATGATTTTGTGTCGCTTTGACAGTGATTTGGTTAGAAGAACTGCTTGTTAACCGTGTTTTTCCCAGCAGGTCAGGTGATAGGATTCACTCTTTTCTTTAAGCAGATAGCGATTAGACCTCATGGATGGCAAGACCTCCAAAAGCAATAAAACCATTAGAACTCAATTAATGAATCAGTGCCTCTTTTGCCATCAATATCACCATGAGATTCACTAAACAAGCCTTTGACATTTACATGCATTTACCATCATTGGTGGTCCCTGAGAGGGGAAAAAAAACAAATATATATATAGGTTATGGCTGAATATCTTATTAAAAGGAAATAATGTAAGTGGAAATACACATAATTGACACTGGAAACTCTCAACAGAAAATTCGAGAATATGGCTTTTTTTTGCATGCAAGTATATTTTATACACACGTTTTAACAGCATTTCTGTAACAACAAAAGCTAATTAGTCGTTCGCAAGTTCGCTTTTACCTGCCGTTACTATAGCAACACAAGCGCGATATTCGTTGCGATTAATACCGAAATCATAGTCTACTGTCGTAACTTACAATTGCTTAAGAATAATGAATAATCACAAAAAAATAATGTTTTTTCAACATGTTTATAATATGTTAATTGTAATAGCTAACGGAGTCATGAGACATTTGCATCGCGAATAACGCGACAGAAAAGTTCCTTAAAGTCATTAAATGATTCGCACACAGGTTTAAAAAAAACTGCTCGCGACTGAGAAATACAGATATAAGCTAATCTATAAATGCATGTTTAAAGACCTGATTATCTTCATCAGTCCGAGTGATGCAGTTCATGCTCCTAAAATAAAACCTCCAAAAGGGACACTAAATATTTCTCTTGTTGCATCGGAATTTGTTAAAGCTTTTGCAGGAAACTGCTTCTCCCTCTATAAACGCGTACTCGTGTTATGTTAAATTATTAGTAACAATCGTGTAAGAATTGTATTATCACTACTATTAATGCACGGATATAATATGCAATTGCTAGCAGTTTTCTCGCGGCCAAATAACAGCACATCTCAAAATATATGCGCTACAAAACAATCGGTAAATGTATGCAATTAAAAAAGGACCAGGACATTTTTGAAACACTGGCTTGTTAAATAATTTATTGATAATACAAAGTTTTTTCTTCCGTCCTCACGGAAGCAATAGTATTCTCTTCGTCGGTATTTATGTCCATGTTCGTGTATTTTTCCTGTTGTGAGGTGAACATAAACTCCAGCGGCCAAAAGCACAAATTATTAAAACAAATTATATTCACATCATTTACAGCACTGGCACTTCTTTATACACTTGGTGTACCTGTTTCCAAAATAAAAAGTGACGCTTTTAGGCGGAACAAAGGGCGTTATTCTTCTGCGATCGAAGACTAAATGATCTTGATGATGATGATGATGATGATGAGGGGGAAAAGTTGGCACGTCTCCGTGATGCTTTAATAACATAATTTACTCAGTAAAAAATATATATACACATCTCACGTCCACTTCTACCTGTACAACCGAATTCAAAGCAAAGAACTGAGTTTATACCCTGCTTAATTCTGCCTCGGTTCTCCAGAAGAATCTGAAGCAGAGGATGATGATGATGATGATGATGATGATGAAGATGATGAAGAATCTTTTGCTCAGCATCATCACAAAGTGTCCGAGCTGTTGCTGCACGGGCTGATGAGGGACAGGTTACACGTCTTGTGCTTTTTTAACAGTCTCGTGATTTTCTCGTCGTCGGAGTTCGGGTCCAGAGGTTTGTTGTATTCATCATCATCCTCGTTTTCTGAGCTCTCCTTCATCCTCTCCGTCTCTGAGTCGTGTTTCTTTTTAGCCGTGGCCATCTAAGCCGCGTGCCTCTTGCGCCATTTGGTTCTTCTGTTCTGAAACCAAACCTGAGACAGAAAAAAAACCCCGCTTCAGAGCACTGTCCATATCAGTGATCAATTAGGCTAATATTATAAAAAAAAATTTTGCATGCAAGTTCAACTAACTGAACTGAAATCATATAAATCAAGCAAAAAGTGCATGCACTCTAGAGCAAGCGATTGATTAAAATAATAAAAGCAAATGCATGTTGACCAGACAATGCGTAAATGTAAGGCCTAACGGTGTGCAATGCTGTGCAGCACTCGCAGCGATTTTTTTTTTTTTTTGGTTAAAAATATGATTTATAATCCCAAAAAATTTAATTTCAACATTATAAATTAATGCTCCAACAGTTTTGCTCGTTTGCAAATTCATATCACGCACAACTGACAGCGACTTTCGCGGATAAAATAATCTGTGGTCTCATTCTGCCCGTTTGCATTGAGGAAAAAAAGTCTAGAATGAAATGAAATTAATATAAAACCCGCCTCTATTTACCTTGACTTGGCTTTCGGTCATTCCCAGAGAATAGGCGAGTCGAGCTCGCTCCGGTCCTGCCAGATATTTGGTCTGTTCGAAGGTTTTCTCCGGGGGGAAAATCTGCTGTCCGGAAAAAGTTGGTCTGGAGTGTTTCTTCTTTCCATCATTGTCCAGCATCATGTGTGCCTGGGCTGAAGAGAGAAGAAAATAAGACACGGTCAGTCAAAACCGAAAACGAGACATTCGATTCTACGTTTATTCATTTAGCAGACGCTTTTATCCAAAGCGACTTACAATTGATCACAAAGAGGCAAACACACAAGAAGTGCTATTTACTTGACGCTATTTGCGAGTGAATATTGATGACCCACAAGTGTCAAACACTAACATTTCAACAATCTGAGCGTGAAAACCAACATACACTCTTAAAAATAAAGCGTCTTTATTGGCATCAGAACCTTGAACATCCATGAAACCTTTCAAATGCATCTTTATAGTCGAAAAAGTGTCTAGATTTTTTTTAAATGCTCCTCAAAATGGTTCTTTCAGGAACTGATCACTGAAGGGTTCTTTGGGGAACCAAAAATGGTTCTTCTGTGGCAAGAACACGCTTTTGGAACCTTTATTTTTAAGAGTGTACGCCACTTTAGAAAAAGATTCCGATTCTATGTAGGTCTTAAAGAAAACAAGAAAAATATAATGTACTTAAAGTGCTCGATTTTCGCGCACTAATTTTGTACTTAATATACTAAAAATGATTCTTTAGTAGGCTACTTCTTAAGATAAATTTAAGATCAACTAAGTGTGCTGTTTTGGGACACAATGAATATGAACAAAAATGCGCTTTTAACATACTATCTGTATTTGAAAAATAAAACAAAAGTATTTAGTCAGCACTTGTAGTACACTTGTGTGTACTAGTGTATGAAAGATGGTTCAAGTGTTCTACAAGTGCTGACTAAATACTTTTTTTTTTCAAATACAGATAGTATGTTAAAAGCGCATCTTAGTTCATATTCATTGTGTCCCAAAACAGCACACTTCTCATGTTTGTCTTAAGAAGTACTAAAGAATCATTTTTAGTAGCCTATATTAAGTACAAAATTAGTGCGCAGAAATAGAGCACTTTAAGTACATTATGGAAGTGTAGCTACTTTTTTTTTTTTTTTTTTTTTCACTTTAATATTCCAACAATCTAGGCTGCGTTTCCCAAAACCATCGTACCCCTAAGAACATAGGCTTACGATGCTTTTGGGAAACGCCGCCCTGCTGAGCGTGAAAACCAACATAAGCCAGTTTAGAAAAATGTTCTCGAGAACTCACCAGGACAGGGAACCCTCGGGTCTCTCCAGGGTGAACCCTGCATCATTCCGGGCCAGAATATGGGCGCCCTCCCGGGCAACTCCGTCAGCGGTTTGGGGTACCGAGACACCGCCGCAGGGTTGAAGTACATCCCGGCTGATGTCAAGCCGTTGATCCGAGGAAAGCCCGAGAGCAGCTGTCCCGCGGCGGTGATGGGTCTCCCCAAGATATCGCTAATTCCATGCGGCGTTCCCAGCGGGATCTGAGAGCTCAGGTTGCAGAAGGAAGGAGCCTTGAAGCCCGCGGGGTTCTGCAGGGCGTACGGGAATAAAGAGGTCTTCATCTCGGTCATGTTGTGCAGCGCAGCCAGAGGAGTGCTGCCCAGAACGAACGCACTCTGCCGGTTACTATCCATCTGCCCGACCGCTATCATTGGTGCGAGTGAACCACAGGGCGAAGCAAGAAAGTTCGTACGAGAAAGTTTAACGCCCACAACTTGACAACTCATCCACCAGAACTGTAACTTTCAACCGGCGAGTTCCAAAGTTCGCGAGCGCTTCCCGATGAATCCCGGAATCCGGATGCCGGCCGTCGGCAGATCTCACGCCCGCTTTGAGTGCTGCGATCGCCCGCATCTGAAGCGCCGTCCTCCGCTCAATGGACTCCAGCGGCGATGACGCGCAGATAACCGCGCCGCCACCTGCAAGCGCGCATCTCCCATTGGAAGACGCTACGTGACGCCACGCTCTGATTGGAGGACGCGAGGCGGCGGATTTGCATGGACAAAGCCGCACGCCATCAAACTCGTAATGTAGCGCCATTTAACGAAGCGTCGCGTTGTAGAAATCATTGTTTCGCATTGCATTTGACACAATAGGCGCGTTTTCTTTATGACGAGTACATACGACTAATAACGCCGCGCATTTCTCCATTCAGACGTCGCGCATAATCCGTTTCGTTTAGAACAAATATGCAACACTTTTTAATAAATGCGGAAAACTCTACAGGACGACTCGCTTAATCGCGGGTTACTAAAACCTGCTCTGCGTGCAGAAGCTGGCAAATCTAGCAGCTCACTGGAAGATTTTTACACTTATTTATATAAACAAGTATTTATGCACGCAGTCTGAAGTCTCTATGTTCTCTTTCGCAGGTTAGCTATTAGAATGACTTTATGATTATTATTACTGAAAATATCGCTCACCGTTTTAGCGTATAAAATATCGACATTTACAAACATAATCGCCCTTATGCAACTTAACGGGTTGTTGCTAAAATAGCCAAATCAGCTAAAACAACTGACATCATAAAATATGAATCACATGGTTTGGGGGGAAAAATAAAGCAATGTTTTACTGTGTATAATTGAATGCGACTATAAGCGATTTAAATCGGGCTTAGTTAATTCAGGCGTATTCAACTCTCTGGTGCTGATCATATCTAACCCACTGTTAACCAGATATTTCTCCTGGTCTGATAACATCTTATCTAACTTCATGTGCAATTATTTAGTGGACCTGACTAAATTTGCTTTGATAATATTCTCATGAGCTATATTTAGACTGCATGTAATATATATATGACATCTTTAATGTTTCATGTTCTGTGTTTTTTGTGAATTGAATCAGAGACGGAGATCATCTGTTTAAGTGCAGCGGTTATGTTTTATGGATGATGAGTGAAATATGAGCGTGCTGGAATTTTTAAAAGGCTTCGACATTATTTAGACCTTCATCAAAACCACGAGAAAGGAGAAATGCGCCGTTTGAATCGAAACACTTTTTCCATTTTGTATTTATGTATAGGCCTCACTCGTTAAAAAACAGGTTAAGTGTGGGCTGTGTGTTGTGTGGTTATTATATACTATCTTTACATGTAGAAAGGAATTTATTGATGTTATTTTATCATATTATCATGTAATCCTCATGCATGACAGAAGCTCAGAAGCGGGTCACCTTCTTTTTCAGTTGTGTAATTTGTTTTATTACCGAGTTCATCTTCTAATTCTAATGTGAGTTGTAAGTAAATGTAAATCTGAATCAGGATAATGACAGTACAACTGCTGCTCTTCATCATCCACTGTTCATGCGCATTAACATCACTGCAGTCTGGCAGAAAAAAAGCGTTTTTAATGCACTGAATTATTATTATTAGTTTATGAGTTTGTGAGGAGTTAGTCTTCGCTTGTCTGTAAAATGACCTGATATATAATCACGCCGTGTACACAAATATTTTTACTGCATAATCTGCAATATAAGTACCAGATGAAGTTGAAAAATAAACAATAAACCCGAAATCCTAAGTGTAAAATTGCTTGACTCAATGCACTGTTATTGCTGATAATAATAATAATAGAGTTTCTGGTACTGTTGTATTTGACTTTTTGCCTTTCTGTATATGCTGTACATTGAAACATGAACTAAAGATAATAAGCAACAATCGCAGTGTTTGTGTCAGTTTTCGAGATTTTTCCTAATTTTATAGCAGTCTTAAAAACCCGTTTTCAAATCAACGAACATGTTAATTAAATAAAAAGAAAACCCCGTAACCTTCGTTGATTTAGCGCGAGACTCTGCGTTCATTTAGAGGAAAACAGCGCCATCTACCGGTCAGACCTCAAACAGAAGAGCTCCTCCATAACAGAAGATACACTGGCTCTTCTTCATATCATAACAAATATAACTTCAAGTCGTGTCACAATATACAGCACAGGTTTGTCTAACTATACTCTGATTATGCTCCCTTAAACGGTTCTTATATCTTACATCAATAAAGTCTGCAATCTCTCTGACTGTCTGTTCTCTGTCTGCGCATCAGGACTTTCACTTTGTCTCTGGATCTTCGTATCAACTCCATATTTATTTGCTCTTGTGAGACTTCCCTATAGTCTCTAGACCTTTATAGTCCTCAATTACTGCTTTTCTCATTTTGTCCCCACCATGAAAATAGTGTAAGCAGATAAAGTTGATGAATTATATGATGTTTTCTGAGCACAATGAATCGAGTTACTGCTGTTTTGTTTTGAGATTACAGATAGATTAATTACAGATGAAATTAGAATTATAATTACAGATTAAAAATCTTAATTTGGTGTTATTTATTGACCGTTTTTATTCATTTTGTTGTTCAGCTGCATCTCTCTGTGTGAGCAACACTCACATGCTAGTATAGTACACAATAAATAAATACAAATATTCCTTTAAAATATCAATAAAACAGTATATATGTAGCATTTTTTAATTTTAAATGTCTTAATTTTATTTGCTGCATTTGCTGTGTATTTATATTTTAGAATAAAATAACTAGTGGGCTTATAACTTAAATTAATTTAATACATTAAAAAAATATATTATCAAATAAATTTAAAAATATACAAAAAAAAAAAATGGCCAAAATATTTATTTCCTAAAATATGTTTCAAAATATATTAAAGTGAATATGTTTTCTACACCTATATTATTTTGGTCGTTTTTGTACATTTTTTTTTAATATATTTTTTAAAGGATTTAAATGTATATTTTGCCCTTTATATATTACAATCGAAGAAAGTACACGTCACACTTGATGAAAAACTTTATTTGTTGTCTATAACACATGTAAACATATAACACATCAGCAAGCAACGTACTTTACAAAGTAAAACAAACAAAAAATATATGTATATAAATAAACATGATTAAATCTAGTTTTGATCTCAAGCTGGCTTTTCCATCCACATTTGCTTTTATCCTAAATGTAGGCTACTGTAAGATTGTAAATGTATTTTCTTGCACCTGAAATACATTTTGAAATATACGTATTATAATGCACAATGCCAGCTCTGATTCAACGACTCAAAGCCAACTAAACCCATATTTACTTTCATGCATCGTGCAGACGCTTCTATCCAAATGACTCGCATTGCATTCGAGCTCTGCATGTTATCAGTGCATGCATTCTCTGGGAATCGAACCCATGACTTCTACGGTTTGAGCTCCTGCATGTAAACCTTGAATGCAGTGTAAGTCGGTTTGAATAAAAGCATCTGCCCAATGCATCAGTGTAAATATAAGCTACAGGTCATATCAATATCAGCTTGTGAATGTTAAATGAGCTCAAGTCACGGAGAGCTAGTCTTTAATCACAGTTAAAGTTACACAAGCCTTCGTGAAACAGCACTGGCACCCTCTCTCCAGATCCCTTGTTTAATTTGTATAAAGTCAGCTGTAAATGCTTGGAGGGCATTTAGAAAAAGTAACTTTAGAAAGACATATTTTGATGTATAACAATGCATAAATGTGAGTCACTGAATCTTTCATGCGACACATTTATGCATTGTTATACATCAAAATATGTCTTTCTAAAATTACTTTTTGTAATGTCTATTCAATGGATTTCAGACAAAACTGAAGTGTGGTTAATTAGATTAATCTACACTTTTTTCTGTTTTTTTACACGTGTTTGAATCGGATTCATTCATCCGCAGCTTCATCAATCATGAGATCCTGGCAAAGTCGTCTGAACAGCAAAAGAAGCTTCATATCTCTATTGACAAAACAACAAACATGTCAGATATGTCAGATTTCTTTAAAATGACCATCCACACGGTTTATCATTCCAGCTATTTCTTAGTGAACATTGTTTAAAAGTAAATCCTACACCAAATATTTGAGTTTATACACAGTGTTTAGACTATAATACTGCTGGATGATATATCCTCTGAAGATACATCTGCATCGTTTATCTTTTGTGTTTCATTCAAAAAATTCACAAAATTCTAATCTTTGATTGAAGTAAATCAACTGAAACTGGGGGAAAATCTCACGATGAAACAATTCTCATTTACATTAAAAACATGTATGAAAGTTAAAGTCCTGCGCAGTTTACACCAGTGATATTTTAGATACAACTGTACTTTTTATTAATACTTTGAATACGTTTTTTTTCCCATTTTAATTTTACTTCTAGTTGGAGTTTTAGTCATTTTGATTTTTTTTTTTTTATATATCTAATAGTTTTTTTATTTTAGTTTTATTTATTTTAGTACATCAAGTTAAAATAAATGAAAATGAGAAATATTTCCTTGGCAACTAGCAGACATAAAACAAGTTTTATTATATATTTTGTTATACAATTTTATTTCAGTAACAAAAATTGTTTTAATTGTATGGTTTTAATTTTAGTTAACACTGAATATTATGTCATCTATGAATTTTGTGTAAAAAAAAAACAACAACGTTTATCAGTCAAAGCAAATGGAGAGCACTGCAATGTAGTATACAAAGTTCACAGATGCACAGTACATCAGTCAGCGCAGTGAACAGCATCCACAAATCTGACGGTCTGTAGTGCCACCGTGTGGTGACAAGAGGAAGAACACACACCTGCAGAGCCTCGCAGCATCAGAAACCATCTGAAACACAGACGCGGGGCCGAATTGACCTCTTATCGTGACATAGACACAACTCATTTTTGCCCCCCCCTTTTTCTGAATTGCTAAAACTCTAAACCCCAATCTCTGAACCAAATCCCCACTAGCTTAAACCAGACTGTCGAATAAAGTACTCTTTCTGCTAAACCTTAAACACGTTCAGGCAGTTAGGCTCTATTTGCAAAACTCTAAACACATTCTCATTCACTCAAACGCTTCTCACACTGTGATGCATTTGTGCTGCAAAAGTTAAACACAACTAAAGCACAGTTGTCATCGTTTACACACAACCATTCAAAACTGTTCACACTTGTTTCTAATGATGTGATCAAACACAACTCAACTCAAAATATGAGCCGGTTCAGAGTGCACACGTGGCACAGGTGACTGAATGATGATATGAACAATAGATGGACATGGACGGGTTTTCTCTCTGTCTAGCAAAAAAGACTACATTATTGTGATGTGGACAAAGTGCTCAGGCCGGACTTTTTCAAACTGGTGTTCCTCATCATCATCATCGGTGATGTGTGCACAGCAGATCATCACACACACACACACACACACACACACACTCTCTCATTTGAGTGAACTGTAACATGTTATTCATTTAGAGTTTTATTTGACATTTTTGCCCTTTGCAGTTGGACTGCAGTATTTTTGCAGTATCCAAGTGCTGAATATATACAAACATTCAGTACTATTCAATATTCAGCA